AGCTCCATTGGTATAATTAATGTATGTGTGAATGGCGTTTGGGGGACTATCTGTAACACTGGACTTTGATGATGCTGATGCTAGTGTAGTTTGTGCTCAATTAGGATTCTCACGTTATGGTAAATATTGCTTTACGTGTCTCGTTAAGTACTTTCCTTACTGGTAGGTGTTTTGCATACTCCAGATGATCATTATTATCATTATTATAATGGGCCTATACATTTTAATTTAAACTGTAATGGAACTGAATCAAGTATTTGGGAATGTCCAGTCAATAATGCTACACAAAATTGCTATTATGCTGCATATGTGATTTGTCAGAGTAAGTTGCTGCAGTTATAAGGAGGTATAATATCTAGTAATTAATTTTAGTCAATAATGCTACTGTTGATACTTCATGTACAACTGGTGATGTTAGATTAGTTGGTGGTGTCAATGAATATGAAGGAAGAGTTGAAATATGCTATAATCAAATGTGGGGAATTGTCTGTGACCATGACTGGGATACAAATGATGCTAATGTTGTTTGCAAACAGCTTGGTCATCAGATGACAGGTATCAATATCTAATATTTTATATCCATTTAGACTATTATTAGGATCAACATCTGTGCGAGGCAGTTATTATGGACAAGGGCAAGCTCCATTTTTAATGAGATATTTATACTGTTCCAGCAGTGACAGTTCACTAATAGCTTGTGATCGATATTTTGATACTAGTATTGCCATTGATTGTGGTGTGAATAATGCAGCCAGTGTTGTTTGTTTAGGTAAGCATTATAAATGAACATAATGTTTGTCACCTTTAATTAATGACAACAGAAGCCTGTAGTGATGGTGATGTAAGATTGAGTGGATCATCAGTGACATATGCTGGTCGTGTTGAACTGTGTGTTGAGAGAACATGGACTACACTGTGTGATCAAACATGGGACTTTAATGATGCTGCAGTGACTTGTAGACAACTTGGATACTCTTCATATGGTTTATACATTCATAATATAATTAATATTAATATCATTATATAGGTGCTATACCAACATACAATTGCTATACTGAGGGACAACTGTCATTTGGTATTACCAATCTTGGTTGTACTGGCTCAGAAAAACATATTTTTAACTGCTCTCACAGTAGTCCATATTTATATAACTGCCAGTCACATAATGATGCTGGCTTAATTTGTCAAGGTATGTATACTATATTTTAGATAAGTGTATAACTGTAGATCTAGTTACAGCATCTGTGCAACAGTCTAATTGTACTGATGGTGAAATAAGATTGGTTGATGGTAGTGGTCCTCATGAAGGAAGAGTTGAAGTGTGTATTAATGAAGCATGGGGTACTGTCTGTTCTAATGGCTGGACTAATACTGATGCTAATGTAGTCTGTAAACAATTAGGATATCTACCAATAGGTTTGTATAATAATGTGATTAAATTCAACATTCAATTATTATAGGTGGAAGAGCAAGATCTGGTAGTAATCATTTTGGTCCAGGAGTTGGTCCAATACTGATGGCTAGTGTTGATTGTACTGGTAATGAGGAATCATTAATAGAGTGTAGGACAAGATCATGTGATGCTACTACTTGCTCTCATTACAATGATGCCGGGGTCACCTGTGAACGTAATTAAATTACACTACACTATATACATTACTCTATGCTATTATTCATTTACAATAGGTAACTGTACTGATGGTGAGATTAGATTAGGTGATGATGCTGCCCTAAGGGGAAGAGTTGAAGTGTGTATTAATAACACATGGACTACAATCTGTGCTAGCTATTGGACTGACAAAGAAGCTACTGTAATTTGCTCTCAGCTAGGATACTCACGTTATGGTAAATTAAATACAAATGTTCAAAGGTCAAAGTTTATGTATGCTTATATAGGTGCAGTTGCTACATATGGTGTATTTATTGATAATGAGTGGCCAATTGGTATATATGAACTAAACTGTACTGGAGATGAAGCAAAAGTATGGGAGTGTATGTATCATACAAATGACAGTATGGATAAACTTGATTGTTCACAAAGCACTGATGCATCAGCATTCTGCATGTGTAAGTAAAAAATCAATGATAGTAAACTCTAAATTAATTCTTTTCCAGCTAATAATACACAGTATGTTAATTGTACTAATGGTGATGTTAGACTTGTTGGAGGTGACGTAATGAATGAAGGCAATGTACAAATATGCTACAATAATGCATGGGGATCAGTATGTGATAACCAATGGGACTCTAGTGACAGTAATGTGGTATGCTATCAATTAGGACTACAACCTTTTGGTAGATAATATTAATTAATCCTTAAATATTATTATTATGATTTTGCAGGCTCACAATCTTTTACTAATAATTATTTCAGTGTCAGTGACAATCCTTCATTTGTGATTGGAGCCTTATCTTGTTCAGGATCAGAGGAATCATTGTTAGATTGTTCAAGGCACACAACTTCTGGTGCATCAATAAACTGTCAGAGTCATGAAGTTGCTGGAGTACGCTGTATTGGTTAGCAAATTATGATAAGACAAAATCATTGATTGTGAGAATAGGAAGCTGTACTCATGGGTCTGTACGTTTGCAAGGAACTAGTAGTCATCTTATTGGTGAGGTTGAAGTGTGCATTAGAGGAGTCTGGAGTACAGTGTGTGGAGAAGAATGGGATGACAATGATGCTACTGTAATCTGCAGACAATTAGGACTCTCACCATATGGTATTATTAATATGCAATGTGTTATGATTCAAAATTAAATAAATTCTATTTATTTCAGGCTCAATTGCAGCTAATGCTTCAATCAGATACAGTGAATATCCCATGAGACTGTTTGGTAGTCAATGCCAAGGCAGTGAGAACAGTATAATGGACTGTCCAATTTATCAGACACAAGATGGAGCATCATATGAACAATGTCAACAGAACAAGGCTGGTGCCATTTGTCAAAGTAAGAAAATTCATGGTCCATAAATGATTGTACTAATTTTTATACTTTTTAGCTTCACAAACACCATATTCCGATTGTACTACTGGTGATATTAGGCTGGTTGGTGGTACGACTCCAACTGAGGGAAGAGTTGAAGTATGCATTAACAATGTTTGGGGAACTGTCTGTGATGATGGTTGGACTGTAGAAGATTCTAATGTAGCATGTAAAAAGGCAGGATATCAAGCATTTGGTACTTTAATGTCTAAATAAGTTGTTAATCAACTTATTTTTTATATTTAGGATCAGTACCCAATGATAGGTCTAGTTATGGTCAAAGTAAACTGCCTATACTGTTGACTAGATTACAATGTA